TCTAGCCTTGAGGAACTCAACAACCAATCACAGCAGACTCAACGTGCGTAAATACGATCCGGAGGTATATTGCCTAACTTCCTAAGAAATGGTTACAAGCAGTACAGAATAACCTTCAGTAGGAAAACAACCAATCCTAAGACGTTGGTTCTCTGCTAACAATAACGCTAATAATAATGTACATAAAAATCTATAAGCATCTGTTGATTTTCTGAATAAACGATCTGTTGCCTAACCCTTGTCTTCTGTTGTTCCACTACTACTCACATTGTTCTCATATGTGAGTACAAATGACTGTGAAATGTATACTATTCTACTCACAGTATTATTCATTCATTCATCCATCCATCCATCCATCGTTAGTTACCAAATAATGAAGACGGTGTTGTGTATCAATGTTGTAAATCCACTATGGATAATTAAATAGAAACAGTCAGAGAAATAAATGAATTCACTACATAAAAATCATAATCCAGTGTTTATACATCTGAGAAATGACGATTTCACTGAGTCAATCAGCGAATGAATTCCAGAATTCTCATCACATATCCCCACGTCCTTCCCTTCAACATTCTTCAATGATGCATAGATTAAAAAAAAACACCTTCCATCACTCATTCATTGTTTCAGTGGTCATGCAGTGTGTGCATAGACTGTCTTCTGTTCATCGAAAATGATGAATGCCACTTATGGTCAGTTGAGTCAGTTAGCTCAATGACCAATTGACTGAGTAATGGTCAGAGTTCAGTCTGTATTATACAAGTGGTGTTAGCAATAGTCAACACTATTGACTGATCCGTTGTTGAAATTAACGGGGAATCAGCTAGGCGTCATACTGAAAATTCACCATCTGAGTCACATCATGTAAACTCTCGCACTGACGACCAGCTAACTCGCCGCTACTCATTTGGGTTCCACTCGAGAGAGTGACAGTGACAGTCTGGAGTGTGATGTCACTAACTTGATGGTTTTCTTAAAGTATGGCCACAATCCAATCCACCTCCATTTGTTCCTGCATATTTGTTGCACAATCGGTTCCTGGTTGGCTCGCTCCCATAGATCCCTATTGCTCATCTTTTCTGGCCAGCCATCTGATCTTAAGTAGGTATGAACGAAGACAACTGTTGATGAAGGTGTGTAGTTTGTTCAAATTGGCCTTCGTGACGAGGCGTTGCACAAAATTTCTGATCAGTATGTAGTAGAGCTGACTTCACATTGGAGTTGGAAATCCGTATCTTATTTTACATGCTGAGTGCACTTCATCTCCATACAGAGTGAGAGTAATGAAAGTTTGCCTTGGTTTCCTGATCCTTGCTTTGGTATCCTTATCAGTTCCACCTATATAAGTGAAGCAGGTTGCTTTTTTCATATTCCTCCCACTTATTCTGATTATTGTCTGTTGTTGTCGCCGCTGATGCTGTTGGTGGGCAAGAAACATCCTCATCACCTCTGTTTTCTCTATGACTGAAAATGCCTATTAAAATTTTCAAAAGGATGGTTACTGAACAGAGAATATTCACATTTTCGATAACCTGATCTGGCAAAGTTTAACTTTCAGCACCACTAACAACCAATCAGCAAATAACTTTGAACAGACCAATCACATTAAAGAGGTATTTATGATAAATAAAAACGTACATTTATAGAAAAAAAGCATAAAACTTTTACAGAGGGTATCTTTCCCTAACATGTGAGAGAAACATCCCCCAGTTAACCATCAGACTGTCAATAGAAAAGTTACACCACATTCCGTACATATATTCATCCAAATGACAATAAATGAGATCCTTTTGAAATCCATTTATAGCCCTTGTCCTATTTTTCAACCGGCCCCAAAATCCTTCAAAATAATTTGCATGTGTCCTCGTAACGGGATTGAAAAAGTCACTTGAATGGTTGACTCTATGATGAATACATCCCAGAGATGACAGAGAATTGTAACCTTTCCAGTCGTCTGTATGTATTATAGATCCCCGTCTAACAAATCTGGCAGTAATAGGCATTAAAGTAGTTGCTTTTCTGTCTGCTATCCTTTCGACGAACCCCTTTCAGGGGGAGCTGTCATACAAAGCTATTACCCAAATGTTGTTCGCTCGTTGCCGACCACGGTTGTATTTCTTCTTCACCAACACAATTTCATCGACCCGACGTGCACAACAATATCTTCTCCACCCAACAAAGAAGTGATTTTCTCCATTTTCCACGAAGCAATATCTCTGCAATGCTGATATCATTTAACTCTTGAAAAGAAGGCTATTCTCCGTTTCAGCAGCTGCCGCTCTCACTGGCTGTTACAAGACCCAGTAGTTCTGGATATACACAATTTGCGTCAAGGAGAGGTGTCACCTTGCAAAAAAAGTTCCTACGAAATATTAGAATTATTAGCTTACCTTCTCTAATGCTAACTCGCTTCAAACATATTGCACAACGATGAACAAATCCATCAGTTGACCTGCTAATGCTTTTTAAAGTCATGACACCACCACACGAACAAGTTCGCTCCTTCCGGAGCAACCCTAAATCCAGACAATAGTGGAGAACACTGCCCTCTTCTAACTGCAATCGTAACCTTGTTAGGGCACGCATTTGAAATAAATCAAGCGCTATACAACATTGAACTAATGTTCGTGAATCTCCTTGGATAATTCGATGTCGTTTGCTGATTGGTAGTTTGTGGTGCTTAAAGTTTAACTTGGCCCCTGATCTTTGACAGTTTAGACTCCTGCATTCATCATAGTGAGTGAATGACTTAGTGTTACTTACAGCATTAATGTTTTTGTTTGAATAACGCCGTATCAATAATAATATAAATAATATCAATGGATTACAGTTCGATACCATCAACATAACAAAATACTGAATATCAGACAAATTTATTGTCTCCACCTAAGCATGGCGGGGAGAGTAGTGGCTGGCCGGCTGGAACTGTATCTTCTGCACATCACCTCTTCCATTTCATCCCTCCTACCAACCTACACCTCCTCGTTTTGCAGTCGGCTTCCACTCTAGGTATCAGTCGACAGTCTTCTCAGCCTGTGCCCCATCCATCCCTATTTTGTGTTTTGTGGATTCCCAATTGGCTCATTTCCCGAGTGGGAATTTTATTCTTTATGCTGTGCAGAGTGCAGAAGATTTCAAAACTGATTTCAAAGTGATGAACATCTGACTTGCCTTACGGATCCCTGTTGACTTTCACACCGTCGTTGGCACCACGACGATGCCTAGATAAGTGATGGAAGTGAACTTGTTGTTCCTGTTGTTGCTTGTTAGTTGGTTCGTTGGTTATGTTCATCACCTTCGTCCTCACCGTGTTCACTGGAATAACACTTAGATAATAAATTCGTTGCAAAATATACAATCATAGATGAAAGTGAAACAATTAAACAGAAAAAGACAAAATGGGTGATTTTACTGTGTTCATACCTGTTCAAAACCAGTTTGTGAGAGTTCATCTAGACATTTTAGTAGGTCCGAGTGTTGGTTTGTAGGGATTTAATTGATTGACTGATTGGTGACAGGATTTTATGATGAACCGACATCTACTCTAGCACACCTTGCGGATAGTGAGCATAAGGTTGACGTTAATGCTTCATTTAAAATTATTTATCGCATTTCTACTAATCTTAATTTTGCTCTACGACTTCGTCTTCTACATACAGCTGAAGCAATAAGAATCCACCTGGAGAAGAAGCCAAACCTGTGTGTGTGTATTCAAAAGAAATTTGTACAGCCACTTTCTTTACCTTCCTTGGCCATCGTTACATGAATGTATAAACCTGACTACTTCGTCCCCTCCCCCTAAACCTATAAAGTTATAAAAATTATAATTGTCCAGATTATTATATTTTATTTTTTCTGACCATTTTATCTTTAATTACGTGTTATCCTTGTAAAACTAATTTATTCTAACCATTTAATTGTTTGTACTAATTTTCTTCGTTAATTATCAACCCATTGACATTTTGACACTGACTGACTAATTATTGTTAACAAACATATCAGTGCCACTTGATGATTGGTAAATTGTTGTGTATTGTAATAAAAAATGCTTTACGTGTATATTAGAGTAGATAGAGCCAGACTGAGATGAGGATCTAATTGAAAAGTAAACATTTTTTCGCTCAATATTTCTGTTTTCTAAATGTCTAAATGGGAATTTTTTTTCTATATTGAACCGACATCGATTAGAGAACCATTGGAAAACCAGCTGTGAGTACTGGACTGCTGAAGAGTCCTAAGCACTAGGAAGAAGGGAACAGCTGTCTGGCAGTACTGCTTTCTGATTTTTCAAATGGTTACTTAACCGATGTCAGTTCACCATGAAAGCCTGTAGCCAATCCATCAAATCGCTATAAACCAATACTTGAATATCAATGAGATACTGACTAATAACTGGGTCTATTCAGGTAGAGGTAGTTAATTACCTGGGATTTTATTGAGAATTCGTCACCAGTGGGTGTGACAAAACACTCGTCACCGATGATGTTCACTAGTGCTATATCATGAGTCGGAAGAAGTTGGAATTCATAGATTGGCCATTGGGTCGGGTCCTAGTGAGTGATTAAATGGTCTACGAGTTCGCTGGCCTTGTAACTAGAACCTTTTGGGTTCGAAGCCTGGCAGTGGGGTGGGTACGTACTGCTGAAGAGTCAGTCCTAAACTAGGACACCAAAGACAGCTCTATCCAGTACTTCCAATCGGTTTTCCAACAGTTGTCTAACCCAATCACAACCTGTTACCAATTCTAGCATATGTCAGTTCTCACTTTTTTATTTTGGTGCTTTGGTGACTTAAACTGAGTTTATTTTCATAAAAAATACTTCAGAATGTATATGCATATAACATGTGTATATGTAGCATAGTGAAAATGGTACATTTATCAAGAATTGGCAGACAATATTTCATTATTTTATAATATAATGAATTAACATAACATAATATATGGACATGATAACTAGTCAAAGTTCATAATTTTGTATATTTTGTTTTTTGTCAATCAGTCACTTGCTGAATGCAGAATTCGATAAGCGTAAATATAAGTGTGCGAATATAAATGCCATATTGTGTATTTCATTCGCTACGGTGTTTAACGCCAACTCAAAACTACTACTGGCTTTAAGGTAAAGTTAAAATAGAGCAAGAACAATAAGAGTGTGGTTTGTGCGGAATAAAAAGATGCTACTATCATTGTTTAGTTGGTTCATTGGCTTCTCATCAACTCAGCTATGCTGCATACACCCCAAAGTCATCATTAAATATATCCACAGTAACAATTTTACTATATGTACTTGCACAGAGTTCATTTTTAAACGGAAATCAATCAATCATTATGTGCATACACCTTATCCTAAGCAACAATAATGATCGTACACAATGAAAACTTCCAGCATTACGTATTCAGATGAAAAAGAGAATGAAAATATCCAGTTATCAAAGCAAGGAAAGACTCACAACCGCTCCTTTCCGAACGTATACATCGGGTTTCAGGCGCTTGATGGAGATTGCTTCAACAAACTTAAGAAGAATTGAACTCTTTTGCCTATTGATAATTTTGAATGATTTTGTTACAGCCATCTCATGACCCGTGTCAAAAAGATGCCTGGCATTGATGGTACTGTTTAAAGCATTCGTTCCCTTTAGATATGGGCTTTCACATATCCTCAGAACTTGAATTCCGTATCGTTTCATTTCCTTTGCGATCTGGGCAGCTTTGCCAATCTCGTACATATTGCGGACGTTCCATGTCTCCACAAGAACTTTTCTTTTGGCGCAAGGAAATCCATTGAACTGAAGTTTCTGTGTGAAAAGAAGGCAGAGTACCTGAGGATTGGAAGAAATGATACTTATTCAAGCTACCAAAGAAAGGAGACTTAAGTCAATGCCAAAACTGGCGTGGAATTATGCTCCTGTCCATCCCAAACAAAATACTAAGCCGCATAATCCTGGAAAGAATCAAACACACCAACCTGGATGAAAAAGTCCAACCGGAACAGACCGAATTCAGGAGAAACAAGTCATGTATTGATCAAATCGCCACTCTACGGATTATTATTGAGCAAAGCTTGGAATGGAAGTCACCTCTCTATCTCAACTTCATCGACTTTGAAAAGGCCTTCGACAGCGTCAATCGAGAGGTGATTTCGAAACTACTTCGCTACTACTGTGGGGTCCCATCGACAATTATACATCTCATCCAACAGTTATACGACAATGCTGCATGACAAGCAATCCACAAAAGGAACTTACGGAAGCCTTCGAAGTAAGGACGGGAGTGAGGCAAGCTGGCTGTCTACTACCGCCATTGATCTTCCTGATTGCAGTAGATTGATAATGCGACAGACAGTGGTGGGCAGCGAGGAAACAGGCATAAAACGGACTCACACAAAAACTTGGAGGATCTGGACTTCACCGATGATATATATCTGATTTCCTACAAACTGGAAGATATGCAAGTGAAAAGCAACAAGTTGGAAGAAGAAGCATCAAAGATAGGACTTCAGATGACCATAGAGAAAACAGAGGTGATGAAGATTCCTGGGCAACGCCAACAGCAACAGCAACAACAGACAACAATCAGCATAAACGGGAGGAACCTGAAAGAAAGAGCCTTTTTTACCTACCTGGGGAGCATCGTTTCAACTACAGGCTGACGGAACTGACGAGGATATCAAAGCCAGAATCGGAAAAACAAGGCAAGCTTTCATCACTCTTAAGTCTGTGTGGAGATCAACAGCACTCAGAATCAAAAATAAGATCCGGATTTTCGACTTCAATGTGAAGTCAGTCAGTACTACTACACGGATCAGAGACTTGGCCAGCGCGTCTTAAAGCGCATCTCAAGCAAACTACAGACCTTCATCAACAGCTGTCTTCGCTCAATACTCAAGGTCAGATGGTCGGCTGGAGAAGATCAGCAACAGGGATCTCTGACCATGAGTGAACCAACCCAGCAGGAACCGATTGTGCAATAAATAAGCAGGAGGTGGATTGGCTGGCCATACTCTGAGGAAACCATCAAGTGGTTGACATCACTAGACTAGCCATTGCTCGAGTGGAACCCGAAAGGGAAGCGGTGAGTTGGTCGTCAATGCGAGGGTGACTTGGAGGAGGTCATGTGAATAGGAGATGAAAGCGCGTGGGCAGACTTGGAGAGGGGTGAAAACGTTGGCAGTAAACCGGACTCAATGGAGACGATGGGGCTGAAGCCCTTTGTTCCTATAGGAATTAAAGGATAGAATAATAATAATAGATATGGGCTTTTCGGAATGTTTTTAGAAAATTGGAGGCATATCCTTCTTTCTGTTCTCCCAGTGTAAATGCTCTCGCAGACATATATTTTTTTGTATGTACAATTGGAGTTAACATGAGCAGTATATTTGTCGACATTCGACTGCACCAAAGGAGAGCATGTTGTCCGATAGATGGGAACCAATTTAGCAAGCTTCAGGATAGGCCTTGGGTAATGAAATACTCAATCTTCTGTTGACTATGGCGGCAATATTTTCACCCATAACATCGAGTTGAATGAAGACAGGCTTTTCTTCCACTGTGGTTGTTTTTACATTCGATCTTTCACATCTTCCATATTTACTGATGAATCTGTGAGGGAAACCGTTGTTTTTCAACATCTTTTCGAGAAACATAAATTCTTCCTCTAAATTCTCTGTGAAGCATATTCTCCTAGTTCTATAGTATAGAGTGTTGATTAGTGCTCGTTTAAAGCTAGCTATCTGGTTGAAAACTATTAAAATGTAGGTCGTTGTTCTTCATAATCAATATTGTTTATTCTATACACTTGCTTTTCAGAAAGCTAATACAAATTCCACTCCTAATGAAGTCTTTGGTTTTACCGACGTTCTACATCTCAATGATGATGGTGATTTCATTTACTGAAGAACAAACATCCAATAAGAAGAATAAGTATGTGTTGAATAATTTATCTTTAAAAATATTGTTTCACTAATATACACTGTTTATGCTCATGTTTAGGTTTAAAAGCACCATTTTCTGTGATTTTATTACACTGCGTCTCCTATTTTTTCTATTTCATTGATTAAAGATGCTCGTTGAATCATGAGTAATAAATAAAAAATATTCATTCAACTATGGGTAAATTTTGTTTTGATAAAGTCTCACAGTGTTTGTTATACAGTAATGTTTACTGATGACAAAGTTTCGAGCACAATTTATTGCCACTCATAATCATATCAAGGCACTACTCACACGACTTCCTAACTTCATTTATATAGTACCATAATTTTTCACTTGATTTGATTGGTAGTAGTATTTTCCTAATTTCGGGTATGAGTGATGAATCATTCCTATTGCATGTGTTGGGTGTAGACTCGATGAACCAGCCAGGATTCAGAATTCAACCTTTCCCTGTCTCCACCTACATAGATTAGTTTTTAGAATTTTAACCCTCTCCCACTATGCTACTGTGTGGTTGTGTGTTAATGCATGCAGTGCAACTGTTGAGCTTTTTTTAAATTACTCATTTTTTCGGGTGGGGTCAACCATTCTTACCTTAGCTAAATTCTGATGTTCTGACAATCTAACTACTCCCGATCTACTAGTTCGACCTATGTAGATGACCTGACAGTCATTGCATGGTATTTTGTAAATTATATTATTTTGTTTAATTGGGTCAACCGACAGGGTCCTTTAACCTACAGACGCTGCCCTATCTGAGTGAGTTTGTAGGTTTAAATGCCACCACTCTAATTCCTGTTTTGTTATTAAGAATCCTAAGCAGGGTCTCAGATGTCCTCTCCCTATATGGTATAACTGTGAATGACTTATATTCTCTCTTATGTTATTATTATTATTGCTCCCTTGGGTTCCTAGTGGAACATAGGGCTTCAACTGCACGTCTCCATTTTCTTCTGTCTTCTGCTATACTTTTCGCCTGCATCCATGTTAATCCATATTCTTTCAACTCCTCTTCACACGATCTCCTCCATGTCACCCTTGGACATCCCATTCGCCGCTTCCCTTTCGGGTTCCACTCGAGGGCTTGGCGCGCGATGTCACCCAGCGGTCTCCTCAGCGAGTGTCCGATCCATCTCCACTTTCTCCTGCATATTTGTTGGGCGATTGGTTCTTGCTTTGTTTGTTCCCATAATTCCTTGTTGGTGATTCTTTCCGGCCATCTGATCTTCAGTATTGAGCGAAGACAGTTGTTAATAAAGGTCTGCAGCCTTTTGGAAATATTCTTTGTGACCCGCCAAGTTTCTGATCCGTATAGAAGAACTGACTTTACGTTTGTATTGAAAATCCGAATTTTGTTGGTGATGCTGAGTGACGAAGATTTCCAGATTGATTTCAGGTTGATGAATGTGTTTCTCGCCTTCCCGATTCTCGATTTGACATCCTCGTCCGCTCCTCCTGTAGTTGAGACAATGCTCCCTAGATAAGTGAATGAAGTAACCTCTTTCAAATCCCTCCCGTTGATGGTGATTGACGTTGGATGTTGTTGCTGTTGTTGGTTGGTTATTTTCATAACCTCCGTCTTGTCTATTTTTACCTGGAGTCCTGTCTTTGCTGCTTCTTCGACCAGTTTGTCGGTTTTCGCTTGTAAGTCTTCGATTGTGTGTGACATCAAACATAAGTCATCCGCGAAATCCAGGTCTTCTAGGTTCTTCACGTCGGTCCAGGATATTCCTGTCTTCTCGTTTCCCACAGTCTGACGCATAATCCAGTCCACCACAATTAGGAATATCATTGGTGATAGTAAGCACCCTTGTCTGACTCCTGTGTTTACTCCAAACGCCTCGCTGAGTTTTCCGTTGTGGATCACTTGACATATGCCGTTGTCGTACAGCTGTTGAATAAGGTTGATGAATATTTGGGGTACGCCATAGTACTCGAGTAATTTCCAAATTACTTCACGGTCAACGCTGTCGAAGGCCTTCTCAAAGTCTATAAAGTTGAGGTAGAGGTTTGATTGCCATTCCATGCTTTGTTCTATGATGATGATGCGTAGAGTTGCAATTTGGTCAGTACATGATTTGCCTTTCCTGAATCCAGCTTGTTCTGGTCGGAGTTCTGTCTCCAGTGCGTCCTTTAATCTCTCCAGGATGATGCGACTCAGGATTTTACTTGGCGTCGATAGGAGCATGATTCCTCGCCAGTTCTTGCAGAGTGAGGCCTAAGTCGCCCTTCTTTGGTAGTTTCACGAGGTAACCTTTCCTCCAGTCAGTAGGCACCTTTCCCTCCTTCCAGACCTTTTGCAATAATGGAGTCAGCATGTCTGCTGTCGTCTCTGGGTCCGCTTTCAGTGCTTCAGGGGGTATTCCATCTGGTCCGGCTGTTTTTCCAGCTTTCAGAAGTTTGATTGCGTTCAAGACTTCAGCTCTCGTTGGAGGATTGGTGTCAACTTGCAGTTGTGTGCGCTCTGTTGTTGGTATTTCTGGACGGGTTGCAGGTGATGGTCGGTTCAAGAGTCCTTTGAAGTGATCCGCCCATTGTTTAATCTGTTTTTCTTCCTTGGTAATGGGTTCCCTTGGCTGTCTTTTATAGGTTTCGCTTGTGTTGGTCTCTTCCCGGATAGAGATTTGGTTATCTGATATAGTGTCCTCAGGTCCCTTTTGCCTGCTGCCTTTTCAGCTTCAGTAGCTAGATTGTCGTAGAATCGTCTTTTGTCCTTCCTAGCACTTTTCTTCACTTCTTTGTCCAATGCTTTGTAAGTTGAGCTCATCGTCTCCTTCTCCTGTCCGTCCTTGCATTGAATCATTTTCTCTTTCACCATTCTCCTCTCTTCTATTAATTTCCAAGTGTCCGTTGAGAGCCATTCCTTGTCTTGTCTCTTCTTTCTTCCTAGAACCGTTGAACACGTTTCGTTGAGAATCGCCTTCAGAGACTTCCAATGTTCTTCCACGCATGATTCTTCAGTGCTGTCGCGTAGTGTTTCCTGCTTTGCTCTGACAGTTGCAGTGAAGTGTCTTTTGTGGTTGTGTCCTTCAGTCTTTGAGTGCTGAACTTGCATTGTGGCCTATCCCCAGCTATCCTCGAGGCTTTTAGTTTCACCTTGAAAGTCCCTTGTACTAGATAGTGGTCTGAACCCACATCTGCTCCTCTCCTTGACCTTGTGTCCAGTAGGCTCCGTCTCCACTTTCTTGAAATTGAGATGAAGTCTATTTGATTCTTGGTGTTTCCATCTGGTGAAATCCATGTCGTCTTGTGTATATCCTTGTGTTTGAACACACTACCGCCAATCACCAAATCATTGAAGGCGCAGAAGTCTGAGAAGAGTTCACCATTGTCGTTCATTTCACCGAGGGCCTCACGACCCATGGTGAGTTCTCTTCCTGTGTTGTCTCGTCCCAGCTTCGCATTCATGTCGCCCATCAGGATTTTGATATCGCCATTTGGGACGTTGTCCATTATTGCTTGTAGTTGTCTGTAGAACGCCTCCTTCTTCTCTTGTTCTGAGACGTTTGTAGGCGCATAACATTGAATGACTGTAACTTTCCTTCCTTTTGAGTTGAACCTGGCTGTCATTATCCTGGAGGAGATTGGTTCCCACTGCATGAGAGCTTTGGTTGCTGTTGGTGACATCATGATGGCCACTCCCTCGGTGTGCTCGTGGTTGTCCTCTGGGTGGCCGGAAAAGATTACTGTCTCTCCAGTAGGTAGTTGGCACCTTCCAGTTCCGTTCCATCTGCTCTCGCAGATTCCCAACACTTCTATTCTGTACCTTCTCATTTCAGCGGCTATCTGGGCAGCCTTTCCAGTTTCGTACATTGTACGAACATTCCAGGTACCCATCCTTACTTTTGCTTTCATCGAAAGAAGGCACATCGGCTGACTGGCTTCCCGAAGGCTTTCACCAGCCTGCGTCATTTCACTTCCCCGATTCCAGCGAAAAGTAAGGCTATTGCTTATGTTTTTAGAATTTTTAATATATTTATTCGTTGAAGTTTCTGTAGCGATTTGGTTGTTTTACAGGGGTGGAGTTGCTAGCACCACGCCCCAACCCTCCCTCTTTACCCGGGCTTGGGACCGGCGAGAAAACTAGTAAGCTAGTAGCCTAGTAAGCTAGTATCTGGCGAGGTTCTCTCTTATGTTGGTTATCATTATTAGTTTCCCCATTATTTTTTATTTTGCTTTTGGTTTTTACTGATCTTCCTAATGAGTTTTAAGGGATAGTTATTTAACACCAACGCCACTTCTATCTGTTTCATTGCATCATTTAGGTCATTTCTTGTGCTACTTAGTGCTACTACTCGGTTTGTTTAACATTTAACTAAGCCTGCCTTAACAGTTAACGGATGAGATGAATTAAAGTCTTAGTATCTATTAGAATAAGTTGGTTTTCTGTACACACTAGTGTGTAGTTTACCTTCTTCTATTCGTTTTATTTTACAATCTAACATCACAGCTAATTCTCCTTGTTCATTTTCCGATTTTATTCCCTCCACTACTAACAATCAAATCAAGTGAAAAATAATGCAACTATATAAGTGAAGTTAGGAAGTCGTGTGAGTAGATGCTTTGATATGATTATGAGGAATAATTAAAATTGTGCTCGAAACTTTGTCATCAGTAAACATTACTGTATAACAAACACTGTGAGACTTTATCAAAACAAAATTTACCCGTGATGGAATTATATTCTAACACAGTATCAATAATGAAAAGTATTCATTTCAAGAAATTCCTCTTGACAGCATGTTCTACATTTATACGACAGTAATAATTAAATAATGAGTTCCTTTAATATGGTTGCAGATAAACGCCTTGCTGACAAGTGCCAACTAGCATGAAATCTAGGTGTAGACAGGGTGTCCTGTGGCCGATTACCCTTAACCATTTCATATCATCAAATCAATATTCATGGTGATGGTGAACTACATAGTATGGTGGCAAACTTAACTGACTAAAAGAATTCAGTCTGCCCCGAAAACGAAGGACTGATT